GTATTCTTTTTTATTAATACAATAGTAGGTACAACAAGATACAAACATTACAAGATGAATTCACTCTCTCAATTCGTATGCCATGATTTTCTACATATATAAGGGTACATATGTACCCTTCCCTATCCTGCACAACAAAAAATGGAGCAATGTGTGATTCAAGTGGATTTTGTTATCACCATTTTGTTATCAATTGAATTTTTTCGCAGCATTCATCCACTTGACTTTTCCCGCTGTCGAGTATTCTACGATGTTCCTCTAACATTCTGTCATTTTCTTGTTGTTCGATTCGCGTTGCCGCAGTATTCGCCACACTGCCTTCCAAGTAAGTCTGCAAGCCTTTCAAAGTGGACCACCTTCATCTTTTTTCACGACGGACTGGATTCGATACACTACGTCATTCAGCCGTTTGAAAACCTATCTTCCGTTGTGGATTGTACAGCAACACTAAATTTTCATCTTGTCACTCATAATTTGCATCCGTTGTCTCACTAGAGCATGCATCTCTCTCAGTTCTTCCTCTAGGATGTTGGACGTCTCTTTCCCAATTCTTAATGCATCACCACTTACACAAAATTCCAGGTCACTAGGCAACCGGAGTTCAGTGCCGAATATTACCTTGGCAGGAGTTTCACCCGAGGTTTCATGCACTGCTGACCGGTATCCCATCAGGAACAAGCGTATGTGGACATCTCAATCTTTCTCATTCTTGACCACGACTTTCCACAAATGCTCTTCCAGGGTTCGGTGCAACCGTTCCACCTCCGACCATTTGCTAAAGTAGTCCATAACCACAAGGACGTATCCGCTTGAATGGTGCATCTGAGTTATGCTGCTTCATCTTCCCTTGACTTCTCGATTTTAATGCAATACACTCCGCACAGTTAGCAATCCTCTCTGCGACCGATTCCCGACAACCAACGCAAAATAACCTCTGTTTTATCTTCTTCAGGGTCTTCGTGACTCCCAGGTTCCCTCCACTGGGACCATTGTGGAATTCCTTGATACCCTTTGCAAACAGCCAGATATCAACTTTAAGCTGTTGCATTGTGCCTTTGCGTACCTTTGCGATGCGGCTCTCCGCTGCCATTTGCTCCTTAGTTGCCCATCTCCAGTCCATCCATTAAAAGCTCTAAATTATGTTATTATGTGAACAATGTTATATTTCTAAATACTAGACTAGTCCTCAATGAAAACACACAATTTTTTTTTTTTTTTTAGTTTAGTCGTAATTTGAAATTGTTCTTAAATGCCAAGGTTTACGCAATTCAAAAACAAATATGTAGGTATTTTTATTTAATTTCTATTTGAAATTAATGAAATTGTCTTTAATTATTTACAGTGCTCGCAGCACGTTAGCTTTTTTGCTCAGATTCAACATTTAATTATCCCCCAAAAAAAAATAAAAAATAAAATACATAACTAATTTCAAAAGCTTCTTTCTTTCTTAGGGCCGTTAACTTCCTTTCTATGTTTTATGTTTCTATGTTTTTTAGCTCTCTAAAATATCGCCCAATGAAAAAATCTTAAAAAAAATACCGAAGTTTTTTATAATAATTAATTAAACACAAAAATGTTACTCCTTGCTTTAACTCCAACCCATTCTCTACTAATACATTATCATTTTAAGATTTATCTCTTTTTGGCTGCTCTAGAGCGTTCTGGTGTCCATCGCACATTCTCTCACTGTTCGTAATAATTACCCACTCGATATTTCTCGCTGACGAATATTCTATGGCATTCCTCGAACATTCTGCCATTTTCTTGTTGTTCGCTTCGTGTTGCCGCAGTATTCGCTGCGGTATACTGTGAATATATTCTCCCAAATGATTTTCTGTTATATTTAAGGCACTTGATATCCCTCTTAATTAAAAAGCACCATCAATTTATGATACAAGCATTTTAAAGTTTATCTTTTATAACGGAAACCAAAGACTTTATCTTAAAATTAAAAATCGCAGATAAAAAATGATTATAATTTAAATCCGCTCAGGTATGGGTAAATTTGCGTCCGTCATTTACTTTAAGATTCTGATTGTTTGAAATTACCATTACTCGAATAATTTGAGGAAATATCCCCTTCCCGCCCTAACATATTGCTTATTTCAAAGCCTGGATCCTTTAGTCCCCTTTCAGTCACGTCAATTCCTGCGCCCAAGTCTGCTCGTTCGTAGGCGAAGGAGGTGAGAAGAGAGGGGAAGAGTACAGATACCTCCGTACCGTCAATTCGTTTCAAGTTTTCTTGTCTCTTTTGATCTTTTCGTTGCTTCCCATTTAAAGAACCAAGGACTTGAATTCAATTAAAGTTGACGCGTGTGGAAGCAAATAGAAAACACAAAAGAGAATGCGAAAAAAATTGCTTTCAAGACTTGACGTGTCTGAAAGGGGACTAATGTAAAATTTTTCCTATCAAGGCTTTCCCCCTACAAAAAGGTCAAATTACACCAAAATGGGTCATCTCATCTCTGCAATAATACCAACTGACTAGTGATGTAATTTTTGGATACTTTCAAGTATCGATCCATACTCGGTACTTTGGAAACAAGCGTCGAATAAAAGTATTCGATACTTTTACATTATTCCGTTAAAAATCCCTTATACCAAAACTAATACTCAAAGTGGGCACGTTCAGAAAGCGCAACAGCTTAGTGACTGTTGCGATTGCACCTTCTGAACGCGTTGCTGTGTACTTCTGATCAACTGAACAGTTGCGTGTTAGATGATCGTAATATTTTTCTTATCATTTGAGACAACATGTTGGTGTGTACCTTTGAGAGTTAAATTTGACAGCTAATGTCTCAAGCCGTGCAAAAGACGCATAACGATCACTCTTTTTTTTTAGCAACGGTTGCGCTCAACTGCTGCACCTTCTGGCCTTTGATCAATCATCGAGTATCGACATAATTTTTTCAATACTAATCGAATACTCAAATTGCCCAACAGTATCAAATATATTCTATTCGATAATCGATACTATTCACATCACTTGAGGTGACAAATGTTTTCCGTTCTCGTGTGTAAACTTAACTGAAAATCGCAAAAAATTAAAAAAACTAGAGTGCTTTCGATAAAAATACAATATTTTCGAGTAATTAGTGTATTTTTCGCTAAATACTACCACACCAGTTGCAATACGACAACTGCGCTTGCTTCCCTTTTGCTTATTTCTCAATAATACTTGCACCTGCCACGCCGGTTTTCTGGCTTGTATATCTACATACGCTCTGCGGCGATCTAAGGAAATGGCCAACATGTTGGAAAATCAATTGTTGACTGCAGCTGAACTGATTGAAAAGCAGTTAGATCAGCAGCTAAATCAGTTGGGCAATTTGGATTCAGATGACTTGAAATCAATAAGGGAACAACGTCTCAAAGAAATGAAAGATCTGAATCGTAAAAAGCAGGAGTGGTTGAAAAATGTGGGCGTTCTTTTTATTATGTAGTTACCATTAGGTAAAAAGCTAACATCGTTTCAATAACCTCTTTATTTTAGGGTCATGGGACATACAGCGAGTTGGCCGATGAAAAGGAATTTTTCGAGGTTTCGAAAAAGTCTCCAAATATAGTTTGTCATTTTTATCGTGACTCCACAGAGCGCTGCCGCATTGTAGATATGCATTTGAAAATACTTGCTACTAAACATATTGAAGCGAAATTCTGTAAAGTAAATGCTGAGAAGTCACCTTTCTTAACGCAAAGACTGCGCATTAAAGTTATTCCCACTATTGCATTAGTTAAGGACAGTAAAACAAAGGATTTCATAGTTGGATTTACCGATTTGGGTAACTGCGATGATTTCTCAACAGATATGTTGGAATGGCGAATAGCACAATCTGGTGCAATTGATTACAAGGTAAGATGCATTCTGTGGTATGAGCTAGGGAGCTTTTAATGTTTCAATTATTTGCAGGGCGACCTTATGACACCACCTGATGTAAAGAAGAAGGCGTATATTAACCGTGTGAACAAGACCATACGCAGTGGCTATGACTCTGATGATTCTGATATAGATTTTGATGATTAACAGCACTTATACAGCAGGTGGCAACTGAAGAGCCCACAGTGTCTTTAAAAAAAGCTAGAGTTTAAAAAGCTTGCTTAGCAAATTCAACTCAATCAAAATTAAAATAATTGCATATGTACATATGTATGTAAGTATAACAAACTTCATGATTTGTAAAGAGTAAAAAAATCTACAGTTGCGAGAAATCAACGAAACTCATCAGCAGCTTACTCCAATTAGCATGAAAACAAAATGCTTACAAAAATTTTTACCCTTGGTTGCGTAGGAATGTAATTCAATTTATAACTTAGAAAAGGCACAAACAGGCGTGGCAAACTATAGTATTGTTCTCAATGGGGAACAACTGGAAAAGACAAATACTGGTAATTCACAAACATATTTCTAGGGCTTTCTTAGTACATTTACAATATTTATTTTTTATACTATTACACAAAAATTAACAAAAATATGCATGCAAAACTAGAAATACGGATAAATCGATAAGATTTCTATATAAGAATCCACTAATTGTATTGCGTTCTTAAGTTTGATTGGCAAAAACAATAAAAGCGGTCTTATCAAATGCAAAACTTAATTTATTTTTAAATGGTTCTTTTTATATGCCGGACAAAAGTATTGGCAAGGAGAATTTTTCGCAATACATGCAAAGTTCTTTATTCTAGTTTATTTTCAACATTTTTTTTATAAAAAAATAGTTCGTACTTCACCAAAAACCATAAAAACAAAATCTCTAAACTTTGTGCAAAACTCGGAAAAATTTAACAAATTTGCATTCTAATTTGCAACTTTCTATTCAGATTTTTGAGTGGAAGGTGTTGCTCATTTTCTCCATACAAAAAATAATTGTCGAACATACTTTGTATGGAACAACCCGAGTGAAAAAAATTGTTTCTTGTCTTGTGTAGTTGGATCATGGAATTACTGAATTCCAGAGTTTAACAGTGTAAAATTCGTAAACTTATGAGGCTTTAATGGACCGCCCCCTTTGTGAAAAGCCATGAACCAAAAATACAAGATCACCTAATCAAAGAAGCAAGAAAAAAGTATATTTCTGAGTGTTTTTGACATCTGCCTAAAAATGAAAACAAACAAAGAAAACGAAAAAGGCGCGGTGATTGAGTGCGATTAAATTGGTATTTATTATAAAATATACAAAGTGAAACTTGATGACAATTAGCAAAAAAAGTTCATAAAATATGGTTTTCATGATTGAAAGTGTTTTACAATCGCATATCATTACCACGGGTCGATTTTTCAATGCCAACGTTCTGGCCACAAACGTGCACCCACTTTTCACGCAAATTTACGCCTTTTGGCAAACCAAACATACGCACAAACTTGTTCCGATCACACAGCACTTTATTTTATATCATAAATATGTAATAAACTAAAATTTATAATTAAAATCGCTGCAGAAAACACATTCAATCGCTACGAAGAGGTAGAAGACGGTGTAAACAAAACCGAAAAACGTCAAAAACGCTACGAAAACTTTTTTCAGAAAATCGATTACAAATACAACGATGGCTGATTAGGTGATCTGTAGTCGTTGGTTCATGGTGAAAAGCAGCATAAACTGTCTGTTTGACAGCTCAACCAGTGTTTTGTTAAGCAATTTTTGTTTCGCACTATTTTCCATAACATCCCGCCATCTTGTCTCTCTTGCTAAAATACAATTAAAAATGCAGAAAATTAGCAGAAAACCTATGTCAAAACAGTTAGGGGATGAAATTCATTTATTTTATTCGCTTCTAATTTCATTATTTTTATTTATTTTATCAAATATTTAAGTATAAAATTTGGGCCCCTCGGCAACACTGAAGTTTGCGAGGTCCCCTGCAAGAACAGTGACTATCATTTGACAAATCATTTGAGTGGCAAGACTGATATAGATTTCTGTCACTGGCTACCTACAAGTTTCTATCAATTTCTAAAGGGCAGTGTGAAAAATCTGATGTAAACATTTGTGTACATGTGATCTTCCATCTTCCTCCTTTTTATGGCCTTATTTTAGGGTCTCTTTTTGACTAACGCAAAATTTGCAAATGTGTTAGTAAGATAAATGAGAATGTGTTAGTTTCCATCACACAATTCTTCTAGGGTCGTTTTCGACACCTTATCGTCGCCTGGGTAAAACAAATGTCGTATGTTAATTTCGGCAGGTTGTGGGAAATCGGGATTGAAGTTTGAAATGCAACTTCTAAAAATGCGAAGATAGATTTTCTCCAAAATCTCTGAAAATATTACTAGTTCACAAAATTCTTAAATTATTTAATTTTTAATGTTTATTGTTAATTAGTTTTGAGTTTATGAAGGATTTTTCAATTTGGCCGTCACATTGTATGAAATGCGACAAAATGTGATCAAAATTTCTACCAAATTAACGACACTACTCAATATCTCGGATAAAGAACGCCATTTTTAAGATATTGAATAGTTTAATATGACTGCATCACCAATTAAAATTTTACTGAATTATCGAAAAAGTTGTAGTCAATATCTGGGAAACTATAGGAGATATCTAAAAACTGATAGCAACAATCAAAAGACCTTATTTCAAAATATATAACTGCATCTACAACTAAAAAGCGTCAAAATGGCGCTTACGACAATCTTTTACCCAGGCGATGTTATGTCATTTATTCCGTAATCTAAACTTACATATTTTTCTTAGTGTATAAATTTGATTGGAACTGAATTCGAGAATGCACACACAGCAAAGTGTCCATTCATCTGGCAGCTAATTCAGTATTGAAGCCTGTTTACTTCAGCATTCTCAGTTTTTCATTCAGGTATTTACCACCTTGCCGTGTGAAATGAAATTTTGTTTAATGATTGTAGATTGCATGATAAAAACATAGCAAGGTAGAACCGTTCTCTCAATTTGTCGGCTATGATTTTTTTTTGAAGTTTGCCAACAAAATCATATAAAAGTGAAAATAAAAAATTTAAGTTGTTCGAAATTGTTGTTGCTTGAGATCGAAAATGAAAATGTGTGTGCGAGTTTGTGAATAAATTTAAAAATTAAATTGTTTGGAAACGTGAAGAATTTTAAAGGTGAATCTCAGCGGTTCTACCTTACTATATTTTTATCATGGTAGATTGAAAACATATAAGCCACAAAGCCACACTACCAGACTAAAGAAAAAAGAATGAAAACCCCTTTGTAAATATTTCATGATTAAAATTTTAAATAATTTCACAGTTATACAACTCTGACATATGTATTTGCTTTTACACCATGACAACTTAATCCATTGTCAATAGATTTTCACCATACTGAACCAAATAGCAACTCTGGTATTTTGCGTTTTTGCATTGATGTTGGACGTTCATTGGAATTGGTCTTGGAATTGGTTGAGTCGTTGAATTCGGTTGCTTTTGGATACGTTTGGTATATTTAGGTGGACCCGGGGGCTGAAGATGGAAAAATTAATAAATATAACTAAACAGTATTCTAATTTGTTAATATAGTGAGAACAACAAATGTGAAAGTGCTAAGCAAATAGCGGTGTAATGTTATTCAACTGAAGTATATAGATCACTGTGGGAAGTAAAATCAATAAAATTTAAAAATAACTTTATACAATAATAAAGGAAAAAAGAAACTAAAATCAGTGCCTGGATGTATTGCAGTTTATTGTTTACACTAATACCTTAATCAACTACATAGTGGGCATATTCGCCAACCTCCAAAAGTAAACTACACATATTTCTTTTGGCATGACGCAAACACCATCTGGCTCCGGCGGCCCCAATGTCAGCAATTTGATGACGGCAAGCAGTACACCAATACGCATTGGTAGCAGTTCAGCTTCAGTTGCGACTCAGCATGCAATGACCGGAAATGACTCATCTTCCCCGGGTGGTGGAGGCAGTGCGGGTGCTGCGAATTCAGCCGTGCCTCAATCAAGCAGTGTACCAACTGGTGCAGCCGAAACACTGCGCCAGCACCTGCAAAG